ACGCTATAACAATCCCCAAAGGAAGGTCAACACATTTTTGTAATGTGCATAAAAAAAAAAAGGTTCGGGAGCATTCAGACGCACAGTATTTCTTCCTGCGAATTACTTCGAGTTTGTTATTGCTAGTGCGGATAGTGCCGGCGTAAATTCGATTTAAGTCTAATGGAAGAATTTGCATTCAGTAAAACTTTTAAATCAAATTTGGTGAATTTTTTTTTTTTTTTTTGTGAACTGTGGGCGGTTAGCAATATTTTTGTTTTAATTGCGCAGGGGCCCCAAATCTACACGGCGGGACCAAGCGCGACCAAGGGAACCGGGGCATCTACTAGATTAGGGCCCCAGGAATTAATACGCTTTGGTAAAATGGCGACAGTGAGTAAATCTCTTGTCTCTCTTCTTGTCTAGAGTTTCCTTGTCTAGAGCAATCACCATCTCCCTGTCGCAAAAGGATAGGAAAAAGGAGAAACAGGCCATCCTCGCTGACCTCCAAAGAAACGGCTACACAAGGAGTTTCGTTCAGTGCGTCGCCCGTCGACAGTGCTGCACGCGCCATAACCATGGATCGCCGGGTGACGCACAGCCCCACCCCATCGCGTGAATCAGCGTACTCTATGTAAAGGAGACCAGCGATGCATGACACTCGTGCTCCGTAAAGAAGGGATTCAAGTGACGCACAAGCCAGTGTCAACATTAGGACGGCTTATGCCAAAGCTGAAGGATCGCCTCCCAAAAGAAAAAAAAGCACAAGGTGTGTTTTAAAAGATACCGTGTGCAGAGTGCCCCTCCGCCTACGTCGGCGAAACTAAATATTTTTCCTTCACGCATGCGTCAGTACCAGAACGACGTGCGCAATTTCGATCGCAAGCGTAGCGCCGTCGCCGAACATACTCGGTACTCGATCATCGTATCGACTTCGCGAACGCGCACGTGATAGACACGGAGCCACATATCCGAAATCATCTGTTCTTGGAGTCGTAGCATATTCAGGACACATCGGGGAACATTAACAGGTCCCTCTGTGCCTTAATATATTTGCATCCAAGGCCCGCGACACGTTAACAAAACATCAACTCGGTAGAAGACGAAGAACAGGTCGAAGCTCTCGCTGTCCCTTTCCATTTAGTCACTTCCTGAAGAAGTCAAGTCGACCCCGAAGCGTTGAGGACTGATTGTTTCTTTTTTTTTCTTCTTTATTTATTTCATTCAACAACACTTTAGAAAACAAGGAACACATGAAGGAATCGTTGGAAGCAACTGCGAACGGAACACTTGGCACAATGCAAACTCGTTCAAAATGAGAGAATAAATAGAAAGTACTTTGGTCTGATATTTTTTTGTTTTTTGCGTTGTTTCCCCAAACCAGACAGATTTATGTTGAAGATGTTTACTTTCAAGTGACCATGGTTTCTTTTCTAAATAGAACAAAGCGAACTGATTTTGTCTTTTTTTTTTCTTAAATTACACATCCTCTATTGCAAAACAACGTTATAAAATAATCCGTTTTACCTTAAGCGCAAGCACAACCGAGGCAACAACCAGAATCAGGCAACTCCAAAATTGCATCGTCACGATGCTCATCGCCTCTGTGTGTTTGACTAAACTACTCACGTGCGGTGAATGCGCCGTGATCTGCGCTTTCTTTCGTGCATGATTCATTGTTTCAGCTTCTTATCGAAACCTCCCAAAGACAGCGAATGTTATGACGATGCAGTTTCGGCGCTGATTGATTCGCTCAATGAGAGAGTAGCGTCGACTGCGGTCGAACATCGAGTAACACAAAACCTTAGTAGTTTTGTTTTTCTCTTTTCAGGGGGGGGGGGGGGGGGGGGGGATGGGGGCTGCAATTTAACGGTGGAAAACACCGCGAGATCGCGTTGTCTTACTATACAGGGCAATTCAGGGCGCGCAATAAGTGTTAGATAAAAACAAGAACGGACAAGATGTACAACGAGTCATGAATATCTAAAAATCATCACCTTATCTGCGTCTGCTACAGCCTCAGTTTGAAAGGTAGCGCCCGATTCTCTTCCAAGTGCTGATCCACTTTCTCCAATAAGGAGAAAGAAATTATAGAACTTTTAAAGGGAAAAAAATTGAAGCTTGTTCTAGTTGGTGATTCACAATAAGCAACACCCTTTTAGTTATTAAAGTATAGTCAGTGCCCTTGTTGTTGTTGTTGTTTTTCCGCGCAGTTGTTGTTTGCAATGGCAAAATTTTGTTTTCTGTTGAAGCTTTTCTCTGGGCTGTGTTCCAGTTCTGTTTCGCCTGCACAGAACTCGATCAGAAGTAGGGATGTCGCGAACCACCCTAGGTTCGATTTCGAAAGGTTTCGATATTTGCGAAGCGAACTGAGGTTTGATTTCGAAAAATTTCGATATCTCCGTACCGACCGAGGTTCGAATTCGAAAAATTCGCAACTTTTGACCACAGCGGAGTTTCGAATTCGAAAATTTCGAGGCTTTCACGGTTTCTAAAATTTCGATTTCGAATCTTTCGAATATTTTCTTACTTCAGGTTCGATAAATTCGAAGATTTCGAAATTCTTTGGAAAAAAAATTCGAAAACTTTGAACGCTTCGAATTTTTACAGACGTGAAGTTCGAACAATTCGAAGATTTCGAATTTCTTTCTGCATAAAGTTCGAAAAGTTCGAAGGTTTCGATTTTCTTTTGACGCTAAATTAAAAAAAAAAAAAAAAAACTTTGAAGATTTTGAATTTCTTTTTAATCCAAGTTTTCAAAGTTCGAAGTCCGATTTTCAAGTTTTTCCACAGTTTCAGTTTCAAATAACGTTTTCACGACTCACTGGTTTTCACAAAATCAAATTTAGAAAAGTTAGGGTGTTATATCTAGATTCTGCGAAGTTGGTCAGGCAATTAAATGAGACGACGAGTGCTTGATTTTTCACAAAATCAAGTTTAGAAAAGTTAGGGTGTGATATCTAGATTCTGCGAAGTTGGTCAGGCAATTAAATGAGACGACGAGTGCCCCGGGCGTGTTAGAATATTTGCCAGTGCAGAATTGTGACCGCCAGCCCCGGGGGCGGGGGGGGGGGGGGGTCTTTAACCTGCATCACGCAGTAGTGATTACACGAACACACTGTTTTACGAGACTCATCCAGTTCGAAACGGCCAGGGGCGAGCAGGAGGTTGAGGCTCGGAAGAACCTTGAAGCGACCTGGCAAACTAGCTCGCCACCCCTTGCACGCTGGAAGTAATCCGATCCGGTGAAGTTTATAATTGTCCTGGAGGTTTATTTTCTGGGACGGAGGAATCGCCTCGCAAAAAGCACAAAAGCCGACACAACTCGAGGTCGAGGAGCGTTCTACCATACAAGTGGCGTCGGAAGAGGAAAAACGGGGGGAAAGAGGGTAGCGGGTGGGGGGGGGGGGGGGCTGGGTTTCAGCCTTTTTCTCTCCCTTGCAGGTATTTCGGACTGTTAAAGAAAACAATACGGGGAAAGAGGGCGTGGTCGAGCTTATTTTAATCTGAAATTATTTATGCATATGTGTAGCTACTGTCGCTCTTCACTGCATAAAAGGTTGCGTAGATGGTCATTGTTAGAAACTCGTTGTCAGAAGGCACTACTCGTCACATGCTTAGTGGTTCGGAAGTTTAAAGCTGTCTTTTCGACCTAAATACCTGTGCCAATAAAAAAAAAAAAAAAAGAATAACTGCGAGAATAAAAAGCAGGAGAAGAAAAAAAGCTATCAAGAATTCATCGGAAGTGTTCTATTGCATATTCAGAGGTTCAGAACTTCGAAACAAGTTTCTTTTACCAAAATGTGTACAGGCTAAAAGAAACACGTCCCAGGAACGTGAAGCGAAAAAAAAAAAGTTTTCTTTTAATGACGTGCTGAATTAAAACACTATTAGATATGTACTGTCTGTGGTGTTAATTTAAATGCGATACCTCAAACAACTTAGACGAAAATAAATATCAAGTTTAGGTCATAATTGCAAGCAGATACATATTGGGACATTTCTTCGAAACTCACGTTGAATAACAATCATCACATCTTGGGACGGCACTTACCTAGGCTATACATAGATCATTCTTAAAAAAGTATACCATAAATAGCTCCGGCTGCAGCGTGCTTCAAATCTGGCACAAATGATAATCGTCAAAAACCCGTCGTCCTTCCTCGCCCCTTCGGGGATTTATTTCTTTAAACCTAAGCATGCCAGAACATTGAAATAAACGACATTGTCTTTCGTAAGGAACGCAGCACCGCGTGTACTAATTCGAGAAAAAAAAATTACGAATGTACCCCACTACTTGAAATCAAATGAAACCGTCCGTCGGTCTTTGGAAGTTCGACGAACGTCGAACTTTTACCCTAAAAGTTCGAAGTTCGTCGAACTTCTGACATTTCAGAATTCGAAAGTTGGAAACTTTTCGAATTCTCTTGATAAATAAGTTCGAAAATTCGAAATTCATCGAATTTTTTGGTCAGTCAAGTTCGAAAGTTCGACAAGCATCGAACCTTGCAGCGCAATAAGTTCGAAAATTCGAAAAAGATCGAATTTTTTAGCGTAATAGGTTCGACGGTTCGAAAAGCGTCGAAGTTCTTAGCTTAACAAGTTCGAAAATTCGACCTCCGTCGAATTTTACGATATAGACAATTCGAAAACTCGAAATCTTTCGAACCTTTCGAACCACTTGATTCGATCATCGAAACTTCGATTCGAAAAACGTTCGCGGCATCCCTAATCAGAAGTAGATCTACTGATAATTGAAATCAACTAGGTGTTGTACTGTGAAAAAATGTTCTCGGACCTTTCCACTATTCTCAACTACCCAACAACATATGGCTCCGTATCTCACGGTATGTCTAGGGAAAGTGTACGGCAAGTTTCGCACAATTTAGACCGGACACAACCAACGAAAAAAAAACAAGGACAACACAAAAGAAGTGTCAGGGTGTGTGTAACCTACACCATCTCGCCCGTTCGTTAACTTTGTCCTCGCGGTATGCTCCTACTAAGCTACTCACTTTTGCTCGAGTGGCGAATCAGTGTCAACCTTGCCACACTCCGGGACCGATGCCGACACCTGCTCCGGGGGCCCTCTGGAAGCCACCGACTCCGACTCCTGCCGGTCGCTTGGGCTGCACTATTCGGGGTCCGACGGGGACGGCAGCGGCCGCAGGTGCAGGGTTGCACTTGGCTGCCAGGTTGCGAATCTGGAAGACTTCGTTCGGCTTTGGACGTCGAAGAAAACAATGCAGAAGGTTAACTTCCTGTGGCTCTTTAAAGCCCGGAATGCTTTTTCATCGAACCTCCTAATCCCAGAAATGTGTCCGCCCATTCGTCAGTTCGTCTGTTTGTCTGTCCGTCCGTCTGTCCGTTCATTTTTCAGATTAGAATGGCACAAAAATTAACGTTGCATCCCGTCAAAGTGGCACGGGACACCACGACTTGAAACTGCGACGTCAATTTCACGTGATCTAATGCCACGTTGCGTGAGGACACGTGAAACCGTGAAGTGACGTCACGTACGTGACCACGTCATGGAACCTCAAGTCCCATTATGCAACGATTCAAAACCGTGACGTCAATTTCTTCGCTAAATTTAGCGATGAAATATGCCAAGCGAATAAAAGCCTCGTGATGGCAATATCATGTGACACCGTCGTCACGGCACGTAGCGACACTGTGTGGCATCAAGTGACGTAAGAGCATGACTTTGAACCGTGACGTCAACTTTCCCACCAAATTTAGAACAAATATTGATGTCACGTGTCGTCATCGTGACGTCACGGTGTCGAGCCCTGATGCCACGTGATACCATGAAGTGATGTGACGTCATTTCGACCGACAAGTTTTGTGGGGAAATTAGTTAATTGTGTTGTTCAATTTCAGAAGAAGCTGTTTAATGTCGAATAGCAGAAACGACTGGAATGACGTTTACGATTGTATTAAAGTTAATCTAAACAAATTCGAAGGGGTGCTCTTCAAATACTGCCTCCGATGCATAAAAAAACTTTAAAGATAATTTTCGCTTCAATTTTTTTAACTTATTTTTCCTTTTTTCAACCATCTCTTTACCTCTCGCCATATCATATATATATATATATATATATATATATATATATATATATATATATATATATATATTACAGTATTATATTGAATGACTCCAGGCACTTCACGACATGTAGCTTGCTTTCTTAATATATTTATGATTTTATCAAAGAACATGGCGGGGTAGTGAAGTGGTGATACATGTGACATGCTATAAGGAGAAGCCGTGCTCGAAAGCCGGATTCGCCACGTTATGCTTTTTCGACAGCTTTCTAATTTAACTCAATCGGAACGGTTATTTATCGGCAAACCTGGGTCATTGCTTTGATCACGTACGTACCTCGCCATTTTGTTTTTAGTGCTCCTGAATTTTAAGGTTGAAGTTTGACGTGAGGGGGGAGGGGGAAAGGGGGGGGGGGCACAGCTTTCATTAGAAATGAAACATAGAAGAAAGAACAACACAACAAAATAATTAAAGAGAAAACTACCTTCCTTTCTATATGCGCGTGGTATGCATTTTCAGTTCTCTTTAGGAGAAATCGGAGAGAGTTTAAGGAATATTTTGTGGGAAATAAACAAATATCAATATTTGGTGTTTTTTTTTCTCTCTCTATGAGTTGGGCAGCGTTTATTTCAAGCTATAAATAACATAAGGTGGGAAACGTTTACTATCCCCCTATTGCCCCCCCCCCCCTCCTCTGTAAAAAAAGGAAAAGACCTATTGCATTAGTTGCGCACAGCGTTACCAAAGGTAGAGGGGGAAGAGCGTAGCTCAGTCAGTTAGAGGGCAGAGGAAGGAGGAATTCCCTTCTTACCCTGACACTCTTGTGTATATCCCAGATGTCGCATTTGTACTCGCAGAAGATTTTCCTGTCACTCGAAATTCGTACAAAAGCTGTTTTCCTTGTTTTTCTGCCTGTGGCTTCCACAGTACTGCGCGAAACTAGTAAAACAGAATATAATATAAATGGTGTTTTTTTGTTTTTTCTTAGTCTTTACGTAATTGTATAGAAAAGTTGGGAGAACTACACTAATGCGGTTTGTAGGTGAGTTAACGACCACGGGTACATAATGTAGGGGGCTGATCGTCACAATAAGTAAAATAATAAACTAAAGTTTGTTAATTAACTTTTTAATTTTCAGCTAGTCAAAATAAACCTGTGGTTCCAATTAGAAACTTGCCGACCGTCATGAAAAACCACCAAATCTGTAAATTTTAGTACCTCTTTGAGCGCCTACTGTAAGCTCAAAGCTCATCTAAAAACGCAATACTACGGTTCTTAGAGAAGCGCGGTATTGCGCTGAAGTTACCACTCGTGTAACAGGCACAAGACTAGTCGTGAGAAAACGTAAATGGTAAGAGACAAAAAAAACGCGCGTGCGTGTCTTTGCATTGGTAGCCTTGGTCCTCTGCATCAGGAAAAACCTTAGCGCTCTATTTAGCTTCCCTCGTTCTTCTATAACTTTCTAAAATTGACTGACTTAGTGGTTTTCGGTGACTCTCACCAAGTTTGTAGTGCGAGTCAAATGTTTATTTTCACTAATTAAAAATTTAATTAACATATCTTAGTTACTTATCTGACTTACCATCACGATTAGTCGCCTATATCATGCACCCTATCTCAATAACTAGCCTGCACAAACTGCATTAGTGTAGCTTTCACGGCTTTTAAAACAAATCTTTAAAGCTTAAAGCTTTGCATTAATCGCATTATCATCATAAAAAACACTCTGGGTATGTCATGTCACGTTGCCTGATTGGTTTTACATTAGGGGTGAGACGTGTTGTCCCATACAGCAGGTAGAGAGGAACATAACTATCAGTGTGGCTTCACATTGCAACGTCCTCCCAGTTATGCCACGCTGATTTCAATATCAACTGTTTGTGACGTTGTGATATTTACGTATTTTATGTGGCAGCTGAAGATGCTTAGTTTCTGCACAGCGTGAAACTTGCGTTATTTTGATAATGGCGAGGTGGATGTTTAAATAAACTACAAACACCTCAAAACGTTGGGCTAAGAAACTTGAGTGAAGAATGAGTAAATCGTTTACAACTTTGACTGATACAGCAGACGCGCTCAGCACATGGTTTCACAAGTTATTTTAAGGAACGGAGATAATAACTTTTTTCGAGCTGGAAAATTATTTGAAACTATGGGCGAATCTCTAAAGTAAGCACTGCATGATGCAGTTAGCAATTTTGCAGTGATTTATATATTTTTTATGATTGCTTTGAAACAACTCTTGACGCCTTATGGCTTCTATAACGATAAAAAGATAAAAGCATTAAGAAGCATTCGGTTTTAATCCTCGTTCGTGTAATAACATTTTCAACGCGATGCAAACCCTGTCAAACCAACAACGATAAAGTCGTTACCGTTACGGCTCGTTTCATACTTTCTCTAATAAATGTCAGCTCAAATTGTAACTAAATTATTAAGACATGCGAACGATATGGGCTCATGATTGACACAAAAACTGGATAAACTAACTAAAAGAACTACTGCGATGTTCACTCAATATCGGGTAACCGTGAGCAATAAAAACAAACGATAACAAAAATTTGCTTATAAGTATCAAGACGTTTTACTCACCGTGAAATAGGTGTTCAGGGCTGTGTTCTGTAACCAAAATAGTCCTAATGTGTTAGCACTTTTGCAAATGTCTTTGGTAATAAAATTAGGCTGGCAATAGACCCTTTTTAAAATTCAGTGGCATCGGTTGGCTCAGAAACTAACGGTGGCCATAAAAGTGTATTTCACTGGGCGCCATCACGTTCGCACGTCAATGGCAGATAAAAATTGATTCTTCGATCTCCCCATTTTTTTTTTTTTTCATTCATTTTTTTAGTTTTTATTGTGTGAACATAGCAACGGACCAGTATGAACCAACGACCTATAAGCCACTCGAATGAAGTTCCGCCATCAAAAGGCTTTAAAGACAGACTTGTGCCGAGAGATTAACCGGACCACACTTCGAAATAAACGCTTACGCAGCCTTCGTATCTAATTCGTGCACGAGTTGTACTGACCTCTTGAACGTACAGTCCTCCTATGTCCCCCGCTTGATAGTATCCTCAACCTCCTCCATCATCGCCTCAAGAAGGCCGCCCTTAGTTTAGCACAGGTGCCATATATCGAGGTGATGATCAAATTTGCAGGCTGAATTTCGAAACAAGTCTTTTACCTAAGCGGGCTCCAAACAAAATAAACGTACCAGGTCTCCTGTGGCGCACAGTTGGCGCAAGAAGCAGAGGGAGTCAGCACAGCCCGAAAGAGCAACTACGTTGTCCAATCTTGCACGAAACTGAAAAGAAAAAGTTTGATATACGCGTACCCTCGCTGTTTTTGTGAACAGTGATACTATTCAATTAAAATAGTGGGCTCATGATATATACAGCACTAAATCTAAGGAACCAAGAAAATCATTTATTTTAATGTCGTTGTGCTTCTAGTTTCTATTGATGTATAACTACGTCGTCAATTAGCGCATAATAGTAATCTAAAGAACGGTTCCTTCAAAATATCTGTCATTTAAAAAAATGCCTCGTCACGAAAAATTCACTTTCCATTTAATCTCTGCATCTCTTCTCGTGTCACTGGGCATAGGCACACAATGCTTCCGCAAATATTGTTTGGAGATGCTGAGCAAATCCGAAGATCAACTTTATGTTTACGTGTCATGAAGATGAAGTATCACTTTTTAATGTAACGCTATGTTATCAGAAGCAGTGGAAAGATATTTAATCATTAATATCGCACACACAAGAACGAAATGTTTTCGGCTGACGGGCAACAAGATTACACGATCCTCCTTTGCGCGATTTTATCGGTTTTCACTCATTCTCAATTATTTTAAGACAGAGATTGGCAACTTAAAACTTTTTCGGCAGAAATATCTTACCAACCAAAACTTTATAAGTAATATGTTTGGTGTTGTTGTTGTTGTTTTACCTGATATTGTTTTAAAACGGGATGGCAGTAACATGGATGCCGACTCCGTTCATCCGTCTCGGCGAACATTAGATGGTGGGACTACAATCGCAATGAGTTAGCTAACTTACTACCTTTCTTGATAATGGTTTCAAGGGTTACTTTAACATTTTAGTCTCAAAAGTAGTAACCAATTATATGTAAGACAATTTAAACAATTCGCGAAAAGACAACGGTCTCTGAGGTATTCATCGATCCGTTTTCTTGTTTTTGTCGCCTGAATCCGAAACGGGGCGCTGAAGAAGCGCCGTGGCTGGAGCCCTGCCCCCCAAATATTGAGAAGAGCGACATAAATATTTTCGGTATCTCGGTGTTAGAGGGTTTTCGTAGATCGCGCTTCTCCCTCCGCTAAGCCCTCCGCAAGGAAGAAGCCGCAACTGTGCCTGCGCGGCGATGGCCTGGACTGTAGAGTTCCGGTCATCGTAGCGGGTTGCGGAGAGCGTTGCGGAACAGCGGAAACGATCTACGATAACTCCCTATTAGGGAGTTTTCGTAGATCGTTTCCGCTGTCCCGCAACGCTCTCCGCAACCAGTTACGCTAGCCGGAACTCCACAGTCATGGCCATCGGCGCGCCGGCGGAGTAGCGGCTGCTTCGTTGCGGAGGGCTTAGCGGATGGGGAAACCCGGTCTACGAAAACTCCCTAATAGGGAGTTTTCGTAGACCGCGTTTCCCCTTCCGCTAAGCCCTCCGCAACGCAGAAGCCGCCCCTGCGCCTCCGCGCCACTAGCCTTGACTGAACAAACCCGGATCTTGTAGCGGGTTCCGGAAAGGGTTGCGGGATAGCGGAAACGATTTACGAAAACTCCCTATTAGGGAGTTTTCGTAGATCGTTTTCGCCGTCCCGCAAGGCCCTCCGCAACCCGCTACGATAGCGGGAACTCCACAGTCAAGGCTATCGGCGCGCAGGCGCAGTAGCGACTTCTTCGTTGCGGAACGCTTAGCGGACGGGGCAGCGCGGTCTACGAAAACTCCCTATTATCTCCGTAGCGTGTCCTCGATAGACGCGTCTACGCCATATTGAGCCGAGAAAGTTACCAGAGCCGGAAACAAATCACTTTTCCAGGCATCATTGCAAACAAAAACGCTGATATAATAATTTTGGTATTGGAGAATTGAAATGCAAAAACTCAGCTTTTACATTTCAATTTTTAATACGCTTAATGATCATGGCCATTATATTTTCTTATTTCCTTTTATTTGTTCATTCATTTATGTCTTTTTTATTTGGTCATGATAAGCTTCTTAGTAACATCAATCCACATCAAGAAGATGAGAGATTAGAGTTATTAGACTATAACGCAGGGATGTCGGTACTCATGTAGCGGTCACTTTCATTTTAAACAAAATCAAACTTTCCCAAGCACAAGCACCCCGTAAGAAATACCTAACGTGCAGTAAACTAATTTAATCGGTCTTATCGATAGCAAACATTGAGTTCAGATTCAGAAAGCTTATTATATTAGGTTACTATAGTACATTAAATAATTCAGTATATTCAAGTAGTGTCTAACATCTTCATTTTTTATCATGTAAAAACTTAACACGCCATGATTTCGTAGATTATGCAATTATGCGGTGCCAAAAATTATTTAAACAATTGTTATGTTTGATCTATACCTTTATTTTGTCCAAAAACATAGTAGAGTAGGCAAAGTCAATATACTTGCATGATAGGTTAAATGCCAGCAGAAAAACAATCATCGGCTTGAAGCGTATGCAGTAAGGTTGTACTTGCTTTAAATTAGCACAATTGATTAAAACAATTCTTTATTTTGAAAAGCGCATATTTTCGTGACTGATATATGTTTAGAATATTCACTAACTTGGGTAGTATTTTCGTTGATAAGAACTATGATATTGTAAAACTTTAGCATTGAAAACGTTTTTTAGAAATTTCTGGAGCAGCCCACGACAAACTCACCAGAGGGTTAGCCAAATCTCTAATACAGGTAAGTTGAACCCTTGCCGTGTCATCGTCGAGTGCTAAAGGGAAAGAGAAAGACACGTTCATTAATGATTTAGTACAAAGCTTGCATACTATGTTCTTAGCCAAAAAGTATTTATTACATTAATTGTGTGGCCGCCTTTAAGTGAGTTTTCATCAATTTAAAAGCATAAAAAGATGACGTCCTTAATTTCAGTTTTTATTTATTTATTAACAAAAAAAATCAGGGCTTTTCCTGAAATTTCTAGTTGTGATCAATTCAGGTTTCATGAATACTTGGTTTTATGAAAGAAAATACATGACTATTATAATTCGATTGCTCGATACACTATTTATGTGTTACGTCTCTACAGAAACTTCTAATTATATGTAGACACGTCTATACTTCGTAATAGTGCTTATTTGCCGTTTTTTTATTTATTGAGAACGAAACAAAGAACACACACTTCTTAGAGATATCTCGATCGAGAGCCGTTTCTGACTATCGCTCGACAAATCTTGACTCCAGATGGTATATCGGGTGGTTGCTGGTGACAGGGATGAGTAAATTTTTGTAATGTTTCATTACTTGCATTTCTTTTAGTTTAACTGGCACCATTATAGTGAAAGCTTATAATTCCTTTGTTTGCAGTCCCTGATTGGATTTCCATGAAAACAGGGAACTAAAATATTTGTTATTTTCTTATAAATACTGGCGAAAATCTTATACAAAGAACATAATTAAAAATCCGAGGCAAACATTCTAAAAAGAAAAACAGACCACGACACACGTTTAAAACGTGTAGTTATCCGGGTTATTTTTTTTTTTTTTGCTTTTTTAGTTTTTGGTTTATTATTATTAAAAGTGTTCTCCGGCTTGTCTATTTCTCATTATACAAATATCTTGGTAGCTGTACAAGCAATAGGGGTTTAATAAAAATAGTCGGAATAGAGTAGCCTGAAGGATGATGCACTTCTTATAGGAAGATAGCAGACCATCTTTATGACATACTTTTTAACAATCAGGATTCTGCTTGTCACCGCTTCATACTTCATTTTGCGGGTTATAGCAAGGCACTTCCACAACCAGTTAGTCTCTCGAATTGTGGTTAGTTATAAAGAGCCTGGGCCGTTAGAAACACATTCAAGCGTGTGAGACTTTCACTACCCAATTAACGCCACACGATATAAAGGATAATCAAGTGCACCTCAAATATTCCCAACGAAACTCACCGCACATGTTCGCAAACGTGGGTGAAACCACACAGGCGACGATCAGGACAACACTTAGCCACTTCATTGTTCCCAGTTGAATGCCACCGCTCCACAGAATCCAGAGAGTAGACAGTGGACAATTCCTCGTCAACAAAGCCGTTTTTGTACACGGCTGCTACAATTAGTTTTATCACTCCAGACATCGTTTCATACATAAAAAATATAGAAAACAACGGAAGTGATGCGATTGTCAAAGACCCGTTCTTTCTCGTTTTTCGTATTGCCGCCCTCGTTAATGTTGCTCACGGCTCCTATCTTTACGACGAGCGTCGAAGAACGTCAGAGCGAGGGCCCCCAAGAGGCGACAGAGAGGACAATGAAGGTACGATTCCATGCCTGTTCCCTGGGGGGTATCTTTACAGCTCGGGTTGCTATTGCTAGCGCATTGCCGTCTGGCGTTTGCGTACCCTCGTGTCGACCGTTGTTTTCACCGTTTTTGGGACGTCAAGTCCTGACTGACGAAAGAGGAAGATTACCCGCTGTTAGAATCTCGTGAGAACTTACTTTTTTTTTTCTTTTTTGTTTCGTCATGCGCAGGAGAAAGTATTCAGCCTTAATTAGCGGCTCGGTCTACTAGAATTAAGGTCATTTGCGGTGTTTGCTTTTTGATAAAAGATATGTTTCCCCAGTCCTGCTGCTACGGTTTGCGAAAATATGGTGCATTGAAAGAAGGAAGGAGTCCCACGCCTTACGATGTATTGAGAGTTTTTTGTAAGAACGAATTATATGATTTAGTAACAAGGGCTCTTTGTACTCATTGGTTGACCTTTCGCTAGACTAAAACCAACCCCTTTTTTGCATCATCACATTTATTTTTATTGGTTTGAAAGTTGCCAATAACTGCAGAACAACGATAATCTTTTTCGTTTTCGTGAGCACTAAAACTTTTTTTAGTGCTCACGAAAACTTTTTTTTTTCTCTTTTTGTGTAGCGATAGAATAAAATAGCACATTTTGGCTGATCGAATGTGGACAGTTAAATTTTTAATACATTAATCTTGCTAAAAGAAATTCCAGAATCACCGCGAAAATGCGCTTCACAATATTGAGTGCTGAAGCATGATAGTTATACGAAATGAAACAGCTTCAGACCAGATTGATGGGAACGGCATGGTTTAAAATCCCGCGCTAGTGAGCTAAAAAAAAGAAAAGCGAGCGCAAAAACACGTCGCTACTATTACTACATTTCACACTGTGTGATTTTATGTAGTCATGCTGTCTTGGTTTTTTCTAAGAAGAGACAAACTCACGTTCCCGAAAGCTGAAAAGTATTTACTCGTAGTTTAGTGCCATCGTGCCAAGTGTTATATTTTGTCGGCTCTGCAAGGTTTATTCTAAGCTCACAGAAGCATTAACTGCCATAAAAACATCAGTAACAAAATGAGTACGGCAATCAAAAACAATGTTAGTAATAGACACCGCTATCTTAACAGTAAAATGCACTCACGAGATATGGTGTTCGATGCTTTTCGTGGAACTCGTAGGAGATGAGGTCTGCAATTTGCTTATGTAGGAAACGTTCCATAAACAGTGAAGATGTACTACAACATCCCGGTTTGTGTTACTTCTAATACACGCTACGATTGTGTGAGAGCGCGCACGAAACCAGATGTTGAGGTCACAGCGTCCTGTCCAAGCACGTTGCGATGGTTCAAAGACCATAAACCTAAAATAAATACTTCTATCGGGCTGCGCAAGTATTGTGACGACACATGAAAACAAAGATTTTGAGTCCATACATTCAAACTTTACCCCAACATAAGCCGGGTATTTGCATCAAGCGCTCGTATTTCACGTGTTTGTCGAGGTTCAACTGGCATTTGTGGTCACGCTGAAATTACGAGGATCTTTGCGGCTCAGGTAAAATAAGAGTCGGTGCGCGCCGTTTCATGAAACATTCTTTCATTATTTATTACACTGTATATGCGAGCGAAGCTGAAGGTACAAGCATGACCATGTTGCCAGCTGAAGGAGGCCTACAATGAAGGCGCGTACTCAGCAAAAGAGCTGAAAGCAAGCCTGGAGCTCGCTCTTGTAGCCTCTGCGACGTTTTGGGCCTATAACGTTGAGAAACTGAGAGAAAGGAAATGATGAGAGCTCGCGGGGTCATCAGAGCATTGAGCTCTGACGGAAAGGCTATCTGCTTTTGTCTCTATTCACCGTTTGGACGCGTTCGAAACGGGTGTGGGAACGAAGGCAGCTTAATATTTTCGTCTCCCTGCAATACTTGCAATTAGAGCTCGTCACTCTGACGTCCCTGCACGCTCTCATTTCCTTCTCTCTCTCAGTTTCTCACTGTATAGCAGCCGCCATTCTGGATGTGGGTGCGTTGGGTGTGTGTTTCTCGTAGTGCCCCAAAGTGGCAAGCTCGTGCTGACAGACTGTTTTTTTTTATCCTATGCTTCGCGGTTACGCCTTGTAAACAGTGTGACGCAGTTTATTGGACCACCAACTGAAACAATCTCTACGCAGTCTGACTTGGAGGAGTTCTTGGGTGGTAACGCCTTACCGTAAACTTCATTACCTTTCAACTTGTTTAACTGTAGCGCATTCTTTACTTTTTTTTTATAAAAGCAAGTTGCATATGTAGTTTAGTTACGTTTCTTTGAACTAAAATAGAAAATTAACTACGTTAAAGTTGTATTGGGCCATTTTTCTCGTGATTAAGATCTTATTGATTCCATACAATCAAACCGCTCCTTGTTCTTTTCAAAAGCTGCGCGGCCGCATGCTGACAATCTTCAATCTCTGAACATTAGATTGTAAATATGCAGCCTTGTGAAATGTTATAGATTGGCTGTAGCTACGTGCAATGCGAAACGCCATAGACGTATCCTTCTTCGTGCTCGTCTTTAAGCTTCCTGGCTGGAGATTTGCGCGGGATCGCCAAGTTTAGGTAACAAGGCTTAGCAGGTTTACCGTTGATAATTTTGATAGCAGTTTGAAACACTAAATTTATTATCGACTTTTACCTTTTTCTGAGTCATCGCTTTTTTGGCCAGGCCTCAGCACGGGATCGCTATGCTTGGATAACGACGCTTAGTCGGCATAGTGTTCGGAAGTGATGGTCGCAGTTTGAACCAATATCTTTTTTGGCATCTTTGACTGCACTGAGCTATCAGTTCTCGGTCATTTGAGTTGCGGAATAAAACATGAGCGGTAGCTCAAGGCCCGACAAAAACGAGTTTTATAATAGCGTGCGCAGAAACGTTGCGCAAAAAAATAGTGTCGTACCATGTGACAATTCATAACACGGTTCGGGCATAACATATGCACAAATAGAGACGACGCTATTTATTTGCGTACGCTATTCTAAATCTCAATAGTGACACGCATTTAAGATTTTTAGCAATAATGTTGGGTATAATAATAAATGTCACATACCTATAGGTAAAACCTTTGGTTATTTTGTTTTTCTTCCAACTTCAACCAAATCGTGTCTATTGTGAGGCGCAGTAGTGGCCGAAACCCAGGTAGCACACTTGCCTGGTTTAGCTGGGGCCAGAATTGGCACTTAGTTCTGATAGCTTGGCCACGACTGCCCAGCCATTTACGTCTGTATGCCAACCTGGCGTTTCACAGTCTTTCCTTGCACCAGAAAGCCACGGAACTGCCAAGGAACGTCTTTCCTGGTTGACCAGTCAATTTCCTTGGTTATTGATGGCCAGTGTAAAGAGGCCGCGGCCATTATTTATGTACCCTGGCTCTCTATTGATTTTTCTCGGTCAGAGATGGCCAAGGTACCAATGCCTCTGCCAAGCTTGGAGTTTCCATGGTGGTTCGTAGGGATTCCCTGGTCCACTCAATACAAGCAACAGCCAGTATTCGGGCACGTTGCCAGATCGAAGATAGGGTGAGCCAAGAAATGGCAGGGAATTGCCGCTATGCAATGTTCCGTGGCTCAAGCTCGCATTTTATTGGACCCAGAATGCCCGCTGAAAACCACTATTACTTTATAGTTCGTTTAACTTTTTTCACTTTTTTTTAAAAAAAATTCGTATGAGCGTTCTCTTAACATATTTTTGGTGCTTTGTGGCACGAGCCCTCGCAGTAGAAAGCGACGTTTCAGTGCAAGATGTCTGTTTTAGTTAGAGACATAAAAAAGAACACGTCTTCCCCATTGAAAAAGAAAAAAAAACTATTTGGAAACAGTTTGGATATGAACAGGCCAAACCCGAAATGAACTGGTTGCAGTGGAATTGTACCGGACAAATTGGAAATCAAACTGTCGAAATTGGTCGAACTCGAACTTCATAACTTTCCCGCTTTTTACCACGGCCTTCATCTACCCTGGCTTGCATGGAGAAACCGCTTCCAGCCAGGGTTGCCAGGTAGTTTCGAGCTGAAACCGCCAAAAGCCAGACGGCGTAGCCCAAAAGTAGCCAAATACAAGAGATTTATGTAGCCCAAAAGTAGCCATATTCTGCAGAGCCCAGAAAATCGCGCGCTTAAAGGTGCGAGCTCAATATTCGAAAGCATTGCGTCTGCATATCTAGGTTTTAGGAGCAGCTTGCAAGATCTACGACATCTCTAAATGTATTGAACGTTTTATTTCAAACACAAAAGTACAAAAATTTTCCACACGCGTTTTTTTCAGTCACATAGTTATGAAGCACACGCTGGTGCCCGGCTTACCATGCCTCATACATGATTTCCGTGTTAAAACGGGCAAAAACGTGTTCCGTAGGGTTGATGTCCTTACAGAACTCGTTCTTCCCAAGGAAAGCAAACTTTACATAGAGGACGTTTTGAAGAGTTGGAAGGGAGATGTTTTACCTTAGGGACTGACTTTGTGAGGGACACGTGACTGACTACTCTCTTCACGGCGGCATTCGACATGCGCAGTGTTGGGAGCGCGATGGCAAAAGCTCGGATAGCAACGGAAACAGGGCTGCTCCTGCGCATTGATCTTGGCCTTGTTCGGAATATTCATTGTCCCAAATTCGTTGTCTTTTGTTATGGCTCATTGTGCTTTAAGAAACTTTCATGTTTCGCGGAAAAGCCTCCTTCGTTATATCCGGTACAGCACGCTTTATAGGGCGACA